TATTGTTTAATACCTTATATCAATGATACTGCTTGAACAAAAGTAATCAAAAAGCCTGTACCTGTAACCTGTAACCTGGAAGATATTGAATAATAATATAACCTATAAAAACATCTCAACACTTCCAAGACTTACAAATTACAAAACGCTCAAGATTTCCAAGACCGTTCAAGACTCGAGTCCGCTCAAGACTTCGAATCCGTTCAAGACTTCGAATCTGGTCAAGACGTCGAATCTGGTCAGGACTTCGAAGCCACTCGAGACTTGGAATCGCCTCGGAACTTCGAATCCGTTCAAGACTTTCAAGACTTTCAAGACTTTCAAGACTTTCAAGACTTTCAAGACTTTCAAGACTTTTGTAGCTTCGAATCAGATTCGAAGCGATTCGAAGTTTTCGTCCGTATAGAGATTCGAAGCGATTCGAAGCGTTCCAAATCCCATCACTACGTGCCGGCCGTCGACTGGACCGCAGACTTTCGACTGATGAATGTCACGGCCGACGTAGAGGTACATGTACTGTTTGGCATTGGAGACATTGTCGTTGGACGATGCGACGAACGTTGTCGTTTTCGTCGGCCGATTTATGCTAGATGTCATCAAGCAATCTACACACATTGTACATATCCTGAGAACGCACTCATTATAATTACACTGTAGAACAAATTGTTATGTTTTTTAAGCGCTCCGATTCCTACTTTACGTATCTGATACAGTTCCACGCGCCAGTTACTCTGCAAACTGTTTTGTTTTGCCACTTTCACTTTTGGAGAAATTTAACATTAAAGAAAAATCATATTTTTCATACATAAACAAATTTTGCAGTGTCACTATAGAAATAGTCAATTGTTGTTGCATGAAAATATTCTGCACACTTTTCTAAATACGCTGCTATCACTTTTTAATCCATTATGAGTGATGAAGTACATTTATACCATACAACTTTTGTATGAATATTTATTTGATAATTTCAATTTCTCGTGAATATATTATATATGTGTATACAGGGTGTCTGAAAAGTGTCTCTCTTCCGGGAAATGAGGGGTTGCTGGGGTGATTTGAAACCACTTTTTCCTTAGCGAAAATGTTAGCTGCGGCTTTGTTAACGAGATATTAACGAAAAACCCGGCCGAGTTCCCGCGCTAGCGGTGGCTACGTGCTACGCGTGTACTATGATGCTCCGAACAAGCAACTTGGCATGCATCCCAGGAAACCGCGTATAATAGCAAATAAGAAAACCATAAATCGAACTTTTTATCATCTTTCGTTTGTCATTTAAAGTGATGAATGAATGAAATATAAATGTACGAAAATCATGTGTAACGTCAAAAGACGCATACACAATTATTTAAAATTGTAAATTTCCTTCTCAAATAACGTATTAACGAAAAGGTAATGTAATAATAATCGTAGCTCGTTATTGACATAAAAACCCGCAGTTCAGTAACGGGCTACAGTGATACTGATTACAAATAATAGTCTTTAAGAAACCCGAAGAAAAATGTACGTACGGAAACTTGCAGAATTATTGCCGTGAAAAGTCATAGGTTGCGTTAAATTAAAATTTAATGGCTTTTTATGCTATATAAAAGTGTGCAATGAAATTGTTAAACATTTATTGTTTAAATATATACTGTATAAATAAATAAACGAATTTTTAACAATTTCATTGCATAGTTTTATAGAGCGTAATAAACTATTAAATTTTCATTCTGACAATCTGTTTTATGTCTACTCTAGCTTTTAAGATATACAGGAAAATAGTAAACCACATATTAATCGTTAAGGGGCGTCTTCACTCTGGTTGTGGGGCAATTGTAACAAGCTGCAGGTCTCAAATTGTTCAATAAAGAATTAAATTCTTATATGTTTTGTTTTATTTATATGGAAGCAGTGAAGTACTGATTAGATTTTCATACTGAAAATGAAGCCAAACATGACCTCCTTCAGATTATTTTCAGTGATGTATCATGTGTAGACCTGTAAAATATTTGTCACCGAGTGATTGGTGGATAATTTTACGTTTTATATTTTGCGAGGCTAAATTTGATGTCTCATCAGTAATATGGTATTGGCGACTATACTTTCGAAAGTAATTGATCTTGAGGGTATAAGTGGTTCATTGTAGCTTATAACTTTTTTTTTATACATTTCTTTGAATTGCCAATAATAATGACGATGCATATGGTGATGAAAGCGAAAACCAAAACACTTTGTGTTCTTATTTACTTAGAGCAGGCCTGGCCAAACATTCGCCCGTGAGGCTACATAAACAATAACATCAGTCCCCACCACACGCTTGTGTTGTGTTGCCATCATCGGGCAAGAAGTTGCGCACGCATGTTGTGACCACCCACTTCCAGCATATAGTCACTACGTCAACCTGTGTCGCCAAGATCTGATGAGTAGGGACTTCGGGAGCATTCGAGAGTGCCGAAACTGGAGACGGTCACAGCACACGCGCCTGCCTCCTGCCCGAGGATGGCAACACAACACAAGCGAGTGGTGGGTCTAGAGTGGGGGATTTAGAGACATATTGTACAACGTTAATTATACTCATATAAATAAAATTATGCTATTATTTATTTCAAAAAAATGAATTTTGTTATGAGTATAATCGCTTGTCAAAATTTAAGCAGAAATGAGAGAAGAAAAATAAAGAAACTGAATACTATAACTATCGACGAATGACGTAGACCAGTAAAAATAAAATATTTAAAAAAAAAACGGTTTAAAGTATAGAAAATGCAATATTTATAAATTCCTTTAAAAGTTTCCCAATTACTTTTAGTATTAACAAGCTGAAGCAGACTAAATTCGAGAAAAACTGTTAAACTATCAAGTAAACATTTCATAATATATAAGTGCGTGACATGGCGTGCAACATTGCGTACGAGAACAAATCAAAAAAAGAAGGTGATCACTGACATTAAACGTTTCTTGACATCATTGATATCAATATCTCCTTCTACATAAAAAAATGGATAGGCGCTAAGATACGGATATAGGTTATATAAACAATATGCAGTGGAGCGCTATGTCGTCGTTTTACAATTAATCTTCTTTTCGCTACAATGTCAGGAAGTGAGGTGTCATTGAGATTAACGAACGATGTCCAGTGAGTAATTTGTTCGACGGGGAATTGGTGCTCGTAGGTAAAAAAAAGGAATAAAATAACACCCTAGACAAGTAATAAGAAGCGAAATGAATAATACCAGTTCCTGCGCAGCGCCTGAAGGGTTTACCTTCATGTTGAAACCGGATGGCGATAGCCACTCGAAGAAGAGTATCATTATAGTAGCCGCGTGGATGGCAACGATGCCAACCAGCATCCACGATGCGGTGTCGAACGGTTCTGAAAGTAACAATTTCGTAATTCAGTTTATAAATCAATTTATAGGCTGTTTCATCTAAGATTATTCCGTATAACGAGTAACGTGAATTTTCATAGAATACGCTAGTACAGGCCTGGCCAAACATTCGCTCACGGGGCCACATAAACAATAACACCAGCCCCAGCACCATTCGCTTGTGTTGTGTTGCCATCCTCGGGCAGGAGGTGCGCGCGCATGCTGTGCCTGTCCCCATTTTCGGCACTCTCGAAGTCCCTACTCATCGGATCTTGGCGACACACGTTGACACACATTGACACAATGACTGTGGGATGGAAGTGGGGCACAGCACGCGCGCGCACCTCCTGCCCGAGGATGGCAACAGAACACAAGCGAGTGGTGGTGGGGGCTGGGTTTATGTGGCCTCACGTACGAATTTTTGGCCAGGCTTGCGCTAGTGAATTGTAATAGGAATTTCTAAGAGTATCTTACGAGTTAATACGTTCCATGCTGTTTAGAATTCCATATTTTTAATTATATCTGTGAAAAGGATTAAAATTTATTAAATACATTTACTATTTTTTTATAATATTCAATTATTGTTGATTTACAGTAATTAATTATTAAAAAAATGGTAAATGTACTAAATTCTTCATGGTTTCTTTCTCCCTTTTCCATTGTTTATTCTAAAATTGAGCTGAAGAATATTGTTTTCTATTCAATACTTGAGAGATTGACCATCTAATAGCAATAAAGAAAGTCATTATTGGGTCAAATTTTAGTTTTTAATACATCATCGACCATTTTGTATGTTAGTATATACTAAGTAGGTACTATTATTTTGTGGTATTAGGATATACCTTATAATTAATTTTCAGTAGTATGGCTATAGAATTTTACCAAGAAAGGCAGTAGGAGATATTATGCCAGTCCTCTTGGCAACCACAATGGCGATACCAGTTTCCATATACGGCACGGTGAAGTCAACCACGGCTTCCCTTTCGGAATTAATCATTAGGGACGTCATCACCATGTCTGTCTTTCGATTCACGAGATCAGCTATTAGGCCATTCCACTTCCCATTCTGTGAATAAGAGCAATGCACGATACAACTTCTCACCCATGTATATTATAATCAAATTTTACTATTATATAAATTATACTGTAAAGTACAGCTCTGAAGAATAATTCTAATGTTGTATCACACAATCTGCAAGCGTCTTGACACAAGAATTATTGTTTGAATAATGATTACAAGAACAAATTTTGTGTTAATTCGTTCACATAGACTAACAAGTAAGCTACTTTCAAAAATGTTGAATGAAAGAATTGCTTTTTATTTATTAAATTACACTGTGGTTTATTATGTTTCTTGGTCTGTACGAAACAATCCACGTTATCATTGTAAATTTTACAAATCGGACCGTTTGAATAATTAGACTAATATTTAACATTTGTAAGCGTAGAAGTGAGATGTGTCGTTTATTTAATATATTAATTATAATTACTAGACTGCGAATTTTATGTATTTATCGTAAATCTGAATATGCAAATTTTACGGACTTCTGTTTCCGGAGCGATGCTGAGAAGAGAGAAAGAGTGCAATGTGTGAATTGGAGGTGATTGTTGGACTGTTCGAGTGAAAGGTGGTGGTGAAGGGTAGAGTAAAAGGATGGTGGGAAGAGGTCAGTGTGGTGAGAGAGAAGATAGTAGGAGATAGAAAGAAAAGAGAAAGTAAGTTGGGGTTAGGAAGAAAACGTGGCGAGAGTAGGATAAGTACGGGCGGGGATAAGACAGCTGGCGAGATTTGGTAGTGGAGAAAGGAAGGAAAGTGGTAAGGAAGAGAGGAGACAGAACAGAGAGCGACACCAAAGTTAGAGTAGGAATGTCTAGAGGAAATAAACACATACATATATAAATATATATGTACATAGAGGGCACTTAGTTACATTTAGTTAAAAAAAATGCAGGGAGAAGGTACAAAAGTAGTGGAGGGAGGTGTTGGGGGAAAAAAGAGGTAGGCCGACAAATGCAGGATGGTTTAAATAAGAGAGAAGAAACAGTACAGGAGGAATAGAAGAAATATTAAGAAAGAAAAGAGATAGGCAAGAGGAGGAGATGAGCCAAGAAGAGGAAAAGAACACGATATTCGGAGCAAGTAAGAAGGTGGCCAGATCACCGATAGGGAAACGAAAAATGGATGAGGGAAATTTCATGGAGATACTAAAATGTATGAGGGAGGAGATAGCAGAAGGAAGGGAGGAGGCAAGGGAAAGAGCAAGAGAGCAAAAAGAACAGAAAGAGTGGTTGAAAAGAGAAGTAGAAGGGATAAAAGAAGATAAGAGAAAGGGGGAGGAAAAGTGGGAGGAAGAAAAAGAGAAAATAAAAAAGAAATTGAAAGAAATAGTAAAGAAGATGGAAAAAGTAGAGAGAGAAGGCGGGAGTAAAGGGGAGGAGATAGAGGGGAGATTAGAAAAACTAGAATTAGGAAAGTAAGAAGGTAGGGTAGGAGAGGAGAATAAGATAGAGGGGGAAATAGTAAAAAGGATAAGGGAACTAGAATGGAAGGCAGAAGAGAAAGAAAGGGAGGAGAGAAGGAGAAATATCGCGGTGAGGGGAATGACGGGTACAGGGGGCAAGGTAGAGGAAGGAGTAGAACAATTACTAAAGATTATAGGGATAGAGGGCGCAATCGAGACAGTAAGAATGGTAAGGAGGGGAGGAGGAATGGTGATAGCAAAGTTGAAGGACGGGGAAACGAAAAGAAGAGCGATGGAAGCAAAGAAGAAGTTAAATGGTAGGCAAGAGAGAATGATAGATAGATAGATAAAGAGATACTAGTAGGAGGAGATTTTAATGTAAGGACAGGAATAAGGGGAGGGTGCATATTGGAAGGAGAGGAAGAAGAGATGAGGAGATCAAAGGACGCAACAGAGAACACTGAGGGAAGGAAACTAGTGAGATGGCTTGAGGAACAAGGATGGGGGATTCTGAATGGGACAATAAAAGGAGATAAGAGAGGAGAATTCACATATACGGGGGCCAGGGGAGAATCGGTAATAGACTACGTAGTGGGAGAGGTGGGCATAGGGGATAGAGTAGAGAGGTTAGAAGTGGGGGAGGGGATAGATTCGGACCATAATCCGCTGATAGTGACGGTAAGAGACGAAAGGAGAAAAGGAACAGAGGAGGAAGGAAACAGGAACTCAACGTGGAGAGGGGTGTGGAACGAGAGGAGGCGAGAGAGATTCAGAGAGGTAGTGGCAGGGATAGGGAAAAAAGAGAAATAGGAATAAAAGCCGAAATACAGCAGGGATTACGGAGGATGAGGGAAGGGCTATGAGAGGGATGGAGAGAGGAGCAAAAGAGAAAGGGATGGTGGGATGAAGGGTGTGCAGCAGCAAAGAGAGAAGCGAGGAAGGCACTGAGAAGATGGAGAAAAGGTAAGGGAGAAGCAGAAGGGTACAAGGAAGCAAAGAGGCAGTTCCAAAGAAAGTGCGAGGAAAAAAAAGGAAGAAGCGGAGAGGTTCGTGAAAGAAGCGAAAGAAGTACAGAATGAGAGGTAGGTATGGGAGATTGTGAATAGGGGGAGAAAATAAGGAAGAGGGTAAACGAAAAGATAGGGATGGCAGAGTGGAAAGAACACTATATGCAGGTACTAAGGGGGGCAGAGTGGAAAGTGGTAGCGGGACAAAGAATGGAAAGGGCAAGGGATATGAGTGAGGAGGTCAAAGGGGAAGAGATATAAAAGATAATGAGAAAACTGAGAGACAAGAAAACTATGGGAGTGGACCAAATACCAAATGAAGTATGGAAATACGGGGGGGGGGGGGAAAACGGGGGGAAATAAATAGAGTATGGAGAGGGGACAGGTGGCTGGAAGAATGGAAGGAGGGGTTAATAATACCCATCATAAAAAAGGGAGATGGAATGAGGGTAGAGGAGTATAGGGGGTGACAGTAATATCATCACTATATAAAGTGTACGCATCGGTGCTGGCAGAAAGGGTGATAAAAGAAATAGATGAAAAAAAATCATACTGGAGAATCAGACGGGCTTCAAAAGGGGAGGGGATACAGTAGACAACATTTATATTTTGAATTATTTAATAGGAAGAAATATAGAGGCCAGGAAGAAAAATGATAGCTCTGTTTATAGATCTAAGAGCAGCATTTGATTCAGTAGATAGGGGGTCCTATGGAGAGCGATGGAAGAGAGAGAGGTAAGCGCAGGGCTGAGGGAAAGGATAGACGAAATGTACGCGGAGACGGAGAACAGGGTAAGGGAAGGGGGGGGGGAACTGGTGGACAGCTTTTGGACAGAGAAGGGGGTAAGGCAGGGATGCCCACTGAGTCCGCACTTGTTCAACATACTGACAGCTGACCTAGAGGAGGAACTAGGAAAAGGGGGTTGGGGGTGAAGATAGGGGGGAAAATCAGATCCCTGTCGTATGCGGACGACATGGTGCTGATTGCGGAAGACGAGAATGAATTGGGGGCGATGATAGGTAAACTAGAAAGGTATCTGGATAAGAAAAAGCTTGAGTTAAACATAGAGAAAACGAAAGTGACGAGGTTTGCGAAAGGAGGAGGAAGGAAGAAAAAATTCATGTGGAGATGGAAAGGAAGAAAAATTGAGGAGGTGAAAAACTTTACAAGAGCGGCAAGAGATAATGGGGGCAAGGAAGGCAATAATCGCGATGAGGCAGATGTGGGGAATGGAAAAAAGGAAGTTCGCGAAGGACGTGAAGAGGAAACTATTTTTGTTCGACGCATTCGTGTGGACAGTGGAGAGTTATAAACTATGAGATAAGACTAGAGGAGGGGGGAGGGAGTGAATGGACAAGAAAGTGTTGGGAGGAAGTAAAGAAAAGGGAAAACAAAGGGAAAAAATTATCCGCGTGGGAGGAGGAAAGGAGAGAATTTTTTAAAGAGGTAGGAATACAAATGGAGGAGGTGCAGAGACTAAGGGAAAAGGGGAGGAAGGGGTACGAGGAGATAGAAAAAAGATACAAAGAGAGAGATAATAGACAAACATGGGAAAGGATAAGGGAATCAAGGTACAACAATTGGTATAAGTGGGTGAAGGGTTTCCAGAATATATGACAATAGGCTGGGGAGAGATTAGGTGGAGAAGAATAGCGCGTGTTAGGTTAGGAAATGAGGTAAGGCAAGCAAGATACTGGGAAGAGATAGAGAAAAGGGTATGTAGATTATGCAGAAGCGAGGAAGAGACATGGGAACCTGTTTGGGAGGGATGCAGAGATAGAGGAAACAATTGGAGCTGGCAAAAGAGAGTAAGAGAAGTACTGGGGGAGGAAAGAGAAAGAGAAGAGAGAGAGAGAGAGAGAGAGAGAGAGAGAGAGAGAGAGAGAGAGAGAGAGAGTAGAATGAGAAGTTAACGAGGATAAAGCGAAAGATAGAATTAAAGATTACCTAGGTTAAAGGTGGAGAGTACAGAGATAAGATAAAAATTAAGGAATAGAAATATAAAGACGATAAACACCCGAATAGAGGAGATAAGGCAAGGCGAGAAAGATAGAGGGTAAGGCGATAAGTTTAAGGATATACATAAGATAAGGCAAAAGCGAGAAAGGCAGAGAAAGGCGATGACGGGCGCACAAGGCAACCGTAGGAATGCGAAAATGGGAGAGAGAACAAAATATAAGAGACTGAACAGAGTTTAAAGCGGTAGAGTAGTTACAAGTTGAATTTAAGCGTAAAAAGTAAAATGTAAGATAGAAATAAGTAAAGGCTAGAAACGGAAGTACTTGTAACCCCAAGGGGAGTCAATAAACTAATACAATACAATATGAGTATAAACTTTACTTTACTTTGGACCTAATTAAATTATTAACCCTGGGACACTGGTGTCTAGTTTCCTTGGAACGCAAGTTTCTGAGAACTTCATTACGTTAGGAGTTGTTCATAATAAGTTAAATAAAAAGGTAGATCTTCTTGAATGATTGCATACGACAATAGGGGTTCAAACATACCTAATTATCGCTGCTGTACGAATATTAATCACGTCCGCGTTCCGAGGGTTACATAACAGAAACAAATCTTTGGCATAATTTCAATTCAGTAAATTATTCCAAAAAAATCAGAATTTGCATAAAAATTCGTCGTCTATTCATTATGTACATACACTTACGAGTAGGTAGGTATTGTGCACGTAAATTATTCAGTTATTGTAGTTTTTTCGATGATATCAATACCATTTACGTTATTGTACATTACTTCCCTTTCCAACAGTAAAATTCTTTACTGTCGATACATCGTTGTCTGGGCGTTAACCAAGTTACGCGTATGTCGTGAGACAGATAAACACGTATGTATGTATGTACATACATTCACGAAAGCTGGAACAACGCTGTTCCTACTACACCACACGAACGTCCATTCTCGATGCAAATTCTGGGTTGCCATTAATGGACACGGGCGCAATTACGCGTGAAACGAATCTATATCACCGTTCCATCGATATTGTTCCACGGCATTAAAACTAAAAGCTTGGATTAAACGGAATCGCCGGATGGCCGGGTGTATCGATGTTCGAACTTCCAAGACGTTCGCTAATCCATTATCGCGATTATTGAGTCTAATACCATCTCTGAAAGCATCGGAATCTCCTAATTGGTTTTATGAGAAACTATCGTATGTTCAATTGACGCTGATACGGTGTCCTTAATAAAACGCTTCAGCGAAAAGAGAATCCTTCTCAGTGAGATGATCCGAAAGTATCTTTTACCAGCTAGAAATGAAATTATTGTTAATCGAAACAGCGTCTGCGGCTGGAAGAAGCTAGAGTTTTTATACCGGCGAGGGTTTATTTATTCATGTGCAGTATTTGTTCTGTCTAAAAGCATCGAACACGATTCTACGATCAAGTTTCATTGACGTTCAACCTTGTGCCCCATTCCTCATTGTTATCGAGACTAGGGCAAGGCTTACGTACTGTCAGCTGGTCCCATGATACGCTGAGAAGGGCGATCCAACCATAAGACAGACGACAAAACAATACTATAGGAAAAGTATACTGGATAGCAATGTTGTCCTAGTTCTACTCGCGCGAAAATTGGATTTTCTCCATTCAACTTTGATTTTCTAGAAGATGAAGACTCTATAATTCAAGGACGAGATGTAGGGAATTCGTGAGATTAGTCCCATGAGGATAGGAACATATTGTTATAGAGTTCTAAGCAGATCTTACCCTGGATCTAATTAGTGCTGAAATATTGGGAGCAGAAATTAGTTCGGTCCGTTTTCAAAAGATAGCTCTGGCTGTTATGACTGTTTCATAGTGACAACTGATTTCAATTGTTTCTGAGAGGTTAGATATCTGCCAATAACATTCAGTTTATATTGCTTTGAGGTTCATTTAATACCACTGTTTTTTACTTTGTTGAATATGTCAAATTTTGTGTTAACTGAGCAGCATTTCCGGGAGGTTTTAGTTTTCTGCTTTAATTGGAAGAAAAGTGCAGCTGAAGCACATCGAATGCTTCTTGAAGGCTATGGTGACAATGCTCCAACTGATAAATCATGTAGGGAATGGTTTCGACGCTTTAAGAATGGTGA